TGGCATAACAAGCTTATGTTTGTTCCTAGTGTTTAAGGTATGAACATCCTTATTATTATAGGTAATAAGAGAGTTAGGTTACTAATTATAAATATGAGAAATATCTGAAGCGCTCTATTTAATAAAACACGCACAAGTCTAATCTATCTTAAAATGCGCAAAATCATGACGTCACTAATGATCGAACGCCCTTAGCCTAAGTATTAATGGTGAAACTTTTATAAAACAATGGTAATATTATGAAAAGTGTCGACGAAACAGGTATTCCGTATTGAACATATACGACTATTATTGAAATTAAAAATAATAAATATAATCAATATCTTACCCATTGCTCATGCCTATAAGAATTACCGAAAATAATTATTGTGGGCCTTTTTATTTTAAACTTTTTTTTTGTTTTAACGTTTTTTTGGAATACGATGTTCCGTTGATTGGAGCTTTTCTAAGTGGCAGGACTACTTAAGTTTACATGTTTTTATCTAAGAGTTGGACGTTTTCTGACACCACTAATTTTATAATCATTTGCTACGTTAGTAAAAAGAGGAATATTATACTTAAATGTATGTTATAGGATAAAATCTGTTGGACGATTTCAAATAACTTTATAAGGACTACGCGCTACGAAAGCGCTACGGGAACGTAACAACCCGCTACAACGCGTAGCACATAAGCTCTCTACTAAAACGATAAAATCATTGTCAGTCATTGGAATATCTTTAAAAATATAAAAAAATTATATATTTTAGTGTCATAAAAAGTATATTACAACGTAGAGATGTTTAATTACATGCTGTATTATTATTTTATATTTTAATATAGGTGTATAAAAACATACTTAGAAAAAGTAAATTATGGTTATGTGTAAGTTCTCCCCGCAACACACTAGAGATGTAGACGCTTGTAGAAGCAATGGCGTAGCATTTGACTTTAAAAAACTTTAACTTATGACTCCTGGTATCCACTTATGGACTCCACTTTTTGTTTAGCCAAATAAAACAATTTTATGGTGTTATTTTACAATTAGTTTATGTTTGATCCATTTTCAAGTAAAGTAACCACTATGAGAGATACCCGTGTGAACTGAGGGAAATATAAGTCCCGTAGTACTGGTACTTCACAAATAACTCAATATAGCAAAACCATTCAAATGTTTCATATTATAATAAGTTTCATTTCACGAAGTTCTAATTTCATGCCACTAAAAATACAATAATATGCTTATTTTTAATCAATCAATATTTTATTGAACATTTTTTGTTTATTTTAAAATAAAAATAAACAAAAAAAAATGTATAAATGAAGAAGGTATCTTACCACAATTAAATTAAAAATAAAATAAAAATAAACACACAAGATTGAACAAAATTATATTTACAGATTTTGTCGCGTTTAAATTACTTATTTTAATTCCCGGTCAAGGGGGGGAGGGGACTAAAGTTTTTGACATCCCGATGTCATAGTTAGCCCGGCTACCTTCAGTTTTTGAATATTAATATTTGGTCCGATTTACGCAGAATGAGCTTATTGTATCTTGAAATCTTGCAGTGGTATGCTTGGGTTTGGATTTAATTTTATTAATTATAGGATCCCAAGCAGGTGGCAGCACCTTCTTCTCTATTGAAATTAGGGTGTTTTTTTTAAATTTCATAAGCCTCGCGAAACATCCTTGGTAGGAATCGGTGTTCTTTTGCGAGGATTTGTGGTCTATCAAATCTAATGTAATGGCGGGGACGATCTTGAACTAAGAAACTTGAATTTGTAAAAATTGACTAATCTTCTTCGACGGCTCGAAGTATGTTTTAATGGAAGCTTGCTTCAAGATGTAGCCAAACTTGTCTGTGACTCCTCTGACATCGGGTAGTACAGCAATCATACGCTCGACTGTGGCCGGCTTCACTCGGTCACTGTGACGTAGGAGCGGGACTCGAAGCTTGTTGTCTTGCAATACTTGCTCGACGTGCTGAAGCTCGGCGGCCAGATGTTTTCTGTAACAGATCCCTCGTGCTCTCTCAAACAAAGATTTTCCCACGGTAGCTAACTGTGATGGGTGATGGTTGGATTGACCATTTAAATATCGGTTGGTATGGGTCTTTTTCCTGTACACAGTATGACCAATAGTGTTAGTAGGATTTCGGATGACTAAAAAATCCAGGAAAGCTAAATAATTGCTTGACACTAGCTCCATTGTGAATTGTATTTTAGAGTTTATGGAATTAAGATGGTCTAAAAATGCAGTTACTTTGTCAGATGGTAAAATTGTGAAAGCTCTTCTAAAATGTGTAGTATTTGCGTAAATATAAGAAACCATTATAAAAACACAAGATGATGAAAGTTGAGGTTGAGTAGTATAGATACAACTAAGGAAAGGAAGTATGACGGGAAATAATAGAGGTTCCATTCCAAGTATTAAGTTTTGAGTAGATTTTTGAAGGAAAAAAAGACTATAGGTAGTGCGATTTCCATAAGATAAAATTTTGTTTTAAAATATAATTGTAAATTTTACACGACTGTTATATTTTTGTGTAAATGTTTAAGTAATGAAATATTAATATCTTAATAGTAACAGAAATACGTTTTAAATATTATGGTCCATTTTTGAGTATATTGTGAGCTCGGTCGCATTACATGTAGGACATTATTATAGTAGTTGTACTAAATGGCGTATAAAATCGACTTTCACAAACTCAATAATTTGCCTGCGATCACGAATGTAACTTTTAAATTTACTTGTAACTTAAGGAATAATTGTTCATTGAAATATTTATGAAAGCGAGAAGAAATCGTTCTAGATGTTACCATTTATTTAAATAGAATAATTAGATATTATGTTTTATTTATTTTTATTAAATTCTGCATTTTCAAAGTTAAATCTGCATTAGAGTTTCTTTTTAATATAATGCAAAGATCATTTATTTACATGCCTGTATTTATAAATTTATGTTTATTTTAATCTTCTTTTTATAATTTAAATAAGTACTTAAATTTTTTTTCATACAACATGCACCAAAATATATAATAATTTTGTGATAGCCGTTAAGTGCGTTGTCAAAATCAGTATTTAAACAATATTCAAAAAGTATAAGTAACTTTATTTCAGAAAACTTGCTCATAAAAAATAAATTAAATTTAAATAATATAATAAATTTTTAATAAATAATTAATTATATGTAAGTTGTGTGCTTTTATTACCAATTTATTACCTCTAACTGACACACCTATCTGTTAAGCGGGGTGTTTGACAATACTCTTACTCCCCGGTCAATGCAGACGTAAAGTGAGGTATAATACAACCACGTACAATTTGCAAATAAATATATATCATAATTTAATTTAACTTTTTATGGTTGACTTTTCTGAAGTAAAGTTATTTCTATACGATTAAGTACCTATTCTAATAATGCACTTAACCGGAAAACACTGAGTTTTAGTTACATATTGTATACTCGTATTGTGGTTTATACATCCATGATGTTGAAGAAAGTTCTATTTTATAAAATATTGTCTAAAGTTAATTGTAAGAGTAAGTAACCTGTAAGTTTATTTATCACACGAGGCTTGTAAAAACACGCAATAAAGCAAACTATCTCGATATATATTTGATAGTTTCAAAAAAAGTTACTCAATATTATAATTGATGCTCATAAACAGCTCCTAACAACCTTTAACTACAAGCGAGTGAAAAAGCGATTTATATAAACACGCCACCTATGCCTTTGCTGACCCGAAGACGCCGAATGTAAGTAAACCTCGGCGATACCATATAAAAATATTTGGAAATTATAGGGTACACATAATTTTGAAATATTTAATCTCAAATATAATTTTTGCAATTTTCAATGATTATGACTAAAAGTTTAGTATTTTTATGGAACCTTGCAATATTTTATTTTATAATAAGGCTAAAGCTGAAAAACTAGCACACAATCCACCTGATTATAAGTGATTGCTACGGCCCATAGACATCTACATCTATCCTCGATTACAAATCAAAGATGCGTTCTCACCCGGGAGGACTAAGATGGAATAATTCGTTTCCAGTAAAAAGGGTTTGCAGTTCTCTATGCTCACCACACGAACCACAGCAGCGTTAAGCTGCTATTTTACGCTGGTATTTTGTGAGAGCGTGGTCCATCCCCAGTCGACCCATTCGTGCTACAACTATACCACTAATATAGCTGCATGATCATCATCATCATCATTACAGCCCTTCACAAGTCCACTGCTGAACATAGGCCTCCCCCAAGGAATGCCACAAAGCACGGTCCTGAGCCACCTGCATCCATCGGCTTCCTGTATATCTTAACAGGTCGTCACTCCATCTAGTGGCGGGACGCCCAACACTTCGCCTGCCGGTACGAGGCTGCCACTCGAGAACCTTTCTTTCCCATCGGTTGTCGGTTCTTCGAGCTATATGGCTGGCCCATTGCCACTTCAGCTTACTAATCCGTTGTGCTATGTCGGTCACTCTGGTTCTACTGCGGATATCCTCATTTCTGAGTTTATCACGCAGAGAAACTCCGAGCATAGCCCTCTCCATAGCTTGCTGAGCGACCTTGAGCTTCCTCATACAGCTGCCACATAGCTAAACTAAAAAACCACGTAAAACAAATTATAAATTGATAGGTATATACTTATGAATGAACTGAACGTGTTAATTTATAGATGCTTGTGTTCGGGAGTATAGTATTAAAATATTGTAGCTTTATGTTGTAAAATATTATAAGCGTAGTGTTGTAGCCGTCTAAATATTTTTAAAAATTATTCTATAAACGTGGCGTAAAATATTATTTTCATATTTTTATTTTATACATAAATCAATTAATATATGTGTTTAACTGCATACATCATATTATTTTTTTTATTTACGTCTATTTTGGCCTTGTTTAAATCAAAAGAAACTACAATACTATAATAAAATTTGCTTGAGCACGCCGGTATGTCGCACAAGGGTGCGGTGGCCGGTCACCCCGCCATGCGGCCAACCATTCCTTACCGTCACTCGATTCCATTCTCAAAACTTAACCGGACGACTACATCTACATATTTTATTGCCGTTTTTAATTAACTAAATAAATTTATCCCCTTGTCTATGAAAATCAAGGCCCAGTTGTGGCTCACTATCAAACTGAACTTTGTGGAAGAATTGATTGGCGTCAAATTTAAAAGTAAACTTTTGAATTGTTTTAGAAATTGCAAAATAGAATCTAGTTTTATTTATAATGCTTAAAACCAGTGTGATTTTGAGACTATTAAAATAGTGTTCAGCACGTTTGGTGAAATGGCAAGTGAAGAAACAAGGCCTGCCGCGACTGCGGTAAGAATACAATTGTTTTTTAATTAGTATTTAATGTATTTTTAATTAGACTTGTAAATTTACTGATATTGTAAAACTTATAACCTTCATACCATTAGGATCTTATTGTGTGTAACAATGGAATAATTATTGATTTCATTAGGCGTTTTTACAAAATAATAATGTATAATCATAATAAACGTGCGTATTTGGAACTAGTTTGTGTAACAGCAATATTATCACATAGTATTAAAAAAAAAACAATATAAGCTACAAAAGTGCCAGTTTAATACAAAAATAGATTCTTTTCTACATAAGTAGAAATATTAAGTATATTATATATTTGTAAGTACCGTATATCGATTTTTTTCATTCTCAAAGAAACTGTGATTCATTCTTTATAGTGATTTCAATCTTTAAATTTTTCATTGGGTAATAATAGCAATAACTTGTGTCGTGACCTCTGCCACTTAGTCACGCATCTAGAATACCTAAAACACGTTAAATTTTATGGTAAATTACGCTTTAGCCTGAATTACCAATCTTGAAATTTTATTAATTACTTTGTATAAATTACTGTGTTATTAAAAAAACTAGTCACTATATATCATATAGCAATTAGTGACACTATCGCGGTGTTCACTCCTACAATTGTTATTTTGAGGCAGTTGTATCTAACGTAAATAGTACCATAAAATAAACTATCAATGAAATATGTCTAGTACTAATTATGTTAGGTTAGGTCTATCACTTGATTGAAGTGGACCGCGGGCGTGCGTCGGCAGTCGCCGGGCGGGGCGTCGCGAGTCATGTCGCGTCGACAGCAAGCCAGACCGCGCCTACATTCGCGAACTCGTTCACAGGCTCCCGAATCCGCTCCAGCTCCAGAACCAGCCCCTGCACCAGAACAGGAGCCTCAAGCGGCTTCGGACGACGAGAAGGAATCTGAATGGCGCCCCTCTCGTCCCCCATCACCCCCTCAGCGTAATGAAGATATATCAGAAGGTTCTGAAGCCACAACGCGACCGGGTCGACCAGAACCGACGAGTCGCTACGCAAACCTAAACTACTGGAAAGCGAGACGTGTCACGTTTTACCGCAATGGCGATCCGTACCATCCAGGTGTGGAGTTCCGCTTTAAGCCGGGTCGAGATCTTGTGTCGATGGACGCGTTGCTGGATCGGTTATCGGAGCGACTGGAACTACCGAGGGGAGCGAGGTTCATCTTCGGCATGGACGGCGATAGGAAATACAGGCTGGAGGAACTCGAAGATGGGGCGTCGTACGTAGTATCATCGTACAAAACTTTTAAGGTACTCTATTTTTTCAGTATATACCTCATTAACTTATAAACCTACACATAGTTAAGTATAATTTAATACAATGTAAAATGTTATCGCTTGACCTCATTCATGAATATTCTTATTGCATGTCAGACTTCATATTTAAAATTTTTGTAAATAGAAATTCGTGTTACTTTTATTCCACGTTTCCGCCCCTACTTCAACCCCTAACTTCAGCTCTACGTAGTACTCAGTTGATTGGTAAACGACATTCTGGCGAATGGGTAATGGCGGGAAATTCAAAAACGATTCTCTCAATAATGAGGAACTTAATACATATTTTAATTTGGTATATGAAAAGCCTTGTAGCATGACCATCACACGTCCCTAAATTACATCATTTTAGTTGACAGATGTGTAGGATTACTTTCGATCTTTTCCTTAGCTAGAAAACTGACTTTCAAAAAATACATCCATTGCAATGACACCGGCGATGGTCGTACCCTGGTCTTGGCAGTGACCACGACGGTTTGACTTAATCAACGATTAGTGCACTTGTTATTTGTTAAAGTTCCGCTAATTTCTACGATAGTTATGGCAAAAAAATAGTCCGTCGAGCTTCCCCATTGCATGTTGGTGGAGTTTACATATCCTCAAAATATTTTATTTTGGTTTTCTCGAGATGTTTTCATTTACGCGAGCACATGTTCACTAATCAGGTGCTTAAAACTGCAATTAACCATTTGAACGGATCCGTGGCGTAGTGGCTTTGTGGTGGCATTGAGTTGCGGTGCTCAGGACCGCGGGTTTGAATCCCGCACGGAACAAGTATTTGTATGGCCTACAAATAATTGTTCCGTTTGTTCTCTTGTGTAGTTTATGGAATAGATAGACGCACTTTACCCTACTGTCGCTAATATAACGTGTTAGGTGCTTTCGAATTTTTGACAAAGTTAACACAAGCCATACTGCAGTTATATACACGTGGTAAAACCATGCTGCAGGTATTTTATGGTTGTAATATGAATGAGGTAGCTGTAGCTCGACCGGGAAAGGATCCCATGCTCTCTTAGTAATACCGGGGGGGGAGGGAATGGTAACTTGGTGCTGTTGTGTTTCGTATGGTGATGGTAGAGAACCGGACACTTATTTTTCTAAAATCGGAGCATCCTATCTTGGTTCTCATGGGTGGCAACGTATTTGCGTTTTGATTCTTGGTACAGCATCCACTTACCATCAGCTGGACTGTGTACTGTAACACATATGTAGTCTTTCATAATTACCGTGAATCAAAAGTCAACAACAACGTCAAAAGAGTTAGACTTTACGTGGTTAGATTTTAGGTGGTATATCAATAGAAGGTATAGTTGTAGCACGAATGGGTCGGCTCGACCTGGGAAGGACCACGCTCTCACAGAATACCAGCGTAAAACAGCAGCTTAATGCTGCTGTGTTTCGTTTTTTTTTATAGGAGAGGGGGCAAACGAGCATGCGGCTTACCTGATGGTAAGTGACTACCGCCGCCCATGAACAACCGCAACACCAGGTGAATTGTAGATGCGTTGCCGGCCTTAAACCCTCCTGGGGTAGTCTTTCGTATAATTCCGCTACCATGTTGATGGGCTGGGGGGGGGGGGGGAATTTGGCCTCCGGCCACCTGCACTCACCAGACGTAACGCAGAAGCAGAGCTTCTATTTCACGCCAGTATTCTGTGAGGTCGTGGTACCAACCCGGCTCGAGCCGGCCCATACGTGCAACAGCAAAAACTGCCGCGTGGCTCTACCACCGTTAAAATGTGGTGAGTGACCGTGAGAAATAACCGTCGTATGGTGAGTGTAGAATACCGGAAACTTAGTCTTCACGGCTGATAACGCATCTGCATTTTAAATCGCAAACGAAGATAGATGTAGATGTCTCTGTGCTCGTTTGTCACCTTTATTCTATAAAAAAAAGACGGCTTCGTAGCGCAGTAATTAAGCGTTTGGTCACGAAGCTACAGGGCCGCAGGTTAGAATACCGCACGGAGCAAAGGTTTCTGTTACCTAAAATAATTGTTCCCAGTTTGGATGAGTATCTTTGTGCCATTTATGTATATAAACAGCCACATTGGGCGTAACGCTTTTAAAAAATAGAATAAGAAAAAAGAAAAGTAAATGAGTTCGTCTGGCAATTTTTTTTCGGAACCAACCGGCTCTTTAGGCAGGAACGCTTGCCACTAAGCCACGTTACCTTACGAATTTTTCTTTGTTTCGGTTTTATGGGGTCAATTCTTATAACTACATAATACCATGTAATAGTTGTCGTGCTTATGGCTGTACGAATACTGAAATCATTAAGAAATATCGCGGTAAGGGTGGGTATGCACTATGCGATTAGGTTAGAAAATAGTAACCTATGATTTTAATGGTAGATAACAAAACGTTTTACACGCAACATTTTATCTTCATCTACAAGCAAACATTCTTAATACTCTTATAACAATACGTGGTTTAGTACGTAGTAGATACATGCTGTAGATATATTAGTAGTATAGTTGTAGCACGAATGGGTCGGCTCGACCGGGGAGAGACCACAGAATACTCACAGAATATATATATACCTGCGTAAAATAGCAGCTTAACGTTGTTGTGTTTCGTATGGTGAGTGTAGAGAACCGGAGACCCTTTTTGCTGGAAATAAGGCATTCCATCCTCCTTACGGGTGACAACGCATATCTACATTTTGATTTGTAATAGAAGTTAGATTTAGAAGTCTATGGGCCGCAGCAAACACTTACCATCACGAGGACTGTGTGCTCGTTTGTCACTCTTATTCTATAAAAAAAATTTACACGGATGATTAAAAATGTGCTGAGAATTACAGTCCCTTTCTCCTTTTCAGCCTAGGAGTCTGTTTAGATAAGACGAACTCCTGGGAATTCGTAAAAGGAGTTCATAAAAAGGTACCTTTTACAACTAATAGTAGTACGTGCACTGCTGTCTACTGGTCGGAAGGTTATAGAGAACCAAGTATAATTACCGGCTGCAATTAATTACTGGTTGCAAGTGTCCCATGAACTGCAGTAGGGATATGTGTCTTAGTGCGTAGGGGTGACAATATGCCTGTGGGCTTCTTTGTAAAAGTGGTCTTATATCTGTCCACTGTTTGCAATAATTAATTTGTTGCAGCAGCTAAAATGTAAGCTTGTTTGTCGCTCTAATATTGCACAAAATATATTGCATTTTTTATCGCTTGTAAACTTAACAACCAAGTTTTACTATACCGATGAATAAATTAACCAATCTGCGATAAGGAAACTTGTATACTGTACAGGGTATGCAGTATGTAGATATAGATTCAGAATCGGAACAGTATCTAGAACAACTCCTTTGATAAAAATGATATCCTATCAAAAAAAAAAATTATGGAAAAATGAAATCACGTATCGTGATAAAAATGAGATCTCAAGAAGTACCCAGATATTTTACGTGGTAGAACACACATCCCGCAGCTGTATATGGGCCACAGTATTCACTTATTATCCGGTGGACTCTGTATTCATTGCTATCCTTACTTGTATTAATAATATAACCGAAGTTTTACATCACTATTTCGAGAGAAGATAGTTCCAGTAGCGTCTTTTAGGCTTGTGAACTAACTTAATAAACACATTGTGTGTTTCAAGCCTTACTATAATAAACATTAGCGTGTATAACTCTTTAAGATGGTATTTGAGTCAACATAACGAACGAGCTTGAGCAGACGAGGCCGCGGCCTTGCGAGATGTGGGTCGAAGGATAAGCACCACGCACCGTCGTCGCCACCATTTGCATTTTGATTACGAATGGTCGAAATTTGTTTTTCTCGGTGTATTCGTATGGCGGTTAATTACAGACGAATTTCGTCTAATTGTTGTTGTGGGTCAGAAAGAGAATTCTGAAAACTATTATAGCGGAATAAATTCTTTGATAGGGGAAAATAATTACTGAATACAGTTAATTGAAAATTGAAAAGTTGAAATTACAACGAGGTATTGATCTCATACGTTTACTAAAAACCTTACTTATGTATGTTTTGGTTTACATAACAACTATTCGTTTCTGCTTTATGCTTAGGTTGTTTATTAAAAATTATATATTGATTTACAAATTTTGTACATTGCAACCCTACCACAGTAACGTATTAGTCACTAATAAATCTAAGAGCCACGTAAGAATTACATTCTAGCGAGGGCAATGTACCACCTTGCACTTAGACTGCACCAAGGCAAAAGTACTAATGACCGCGCAACCTTTTGGCGCAGTCGTTGCAAAAACTGAGATGCGCTAGACGCTTTCGTAGAACTTCTTTTCGTCAACATTGATTTCAATTTGAGTCCTTGATTTTAGTGGAATGATTTAAAGATGAACTGGTTCTGTTTTCGAATAACAAAATTTTTCTATTTTATATTATGGTAACGAAATTATTAGTACATCATTAAGTAAAACAAATGATAAAAACTTAAAGTTTTCTATAGAATTTTAATTTTAGAGAAATTTCTATGTAAATTAAAAATTGTATTTACACTTATAGATTCTAAGTAACAAAATATATATTATTAAGTTTATTTTATGCATATAACTAACTAGCTAACTGAGAATATTCGTAGAGGAATAAGCATCACTGGCATAGTCCAGCGGATCAATAAGCTGAAGTGTTAATAAAGCTCATAGAACTGACAACCGACGGAGAATAAAGGTTCTTGAGCTATCCTTGGTAAGGTTAGTACACGGCAGCCGCCCACTAGATGTAGTGAATACTGAGTAAAATATGCATGAAGTCAATGGATGCATGTGACTCAGAATTACGTTTTACAGCATTCTTTGGGGAAGGCCTATGTTATGCAGTGGATTTGAAGAGTGATGGTGATGATGATGATACACCTACTACGAAATAAAGGTCCTTGATTTTTACGAAATTTAGTCTGACATTACATATAGTCACTTATTACGACAACCATAGTACAAAATCGGGCGATGAGTTCTCTTACGCTGTCGCTATATGGCACTAA